AATGCCCTGTAGCTGAAGAAAAGCCTAACATTGTTATCTTTTGACTGTCTTAAAGAGATTAATGGTTGGATGACAAACAATTTCTTGCAGATGAATGCAGACAAGACTGAGTGATTGATCATTGCCCCAGAGAGCATCAAGCCCCAAATTAGTCAATGACTGCGTCCTTTTCATCCTCAATAAAAGCTACCGCTCGGAATCTGTGTCTTTTGACGCTCATATCAAGTCTGTGACCCGTTCCTGCTTTTTTCATTTAAGAAACATTGCCAAACTCAGGACTATTGTATCCAAAGGCGAACTGGAGATACTTGTCCATGCCTTCATCTCCTCTTGTTTAGATTACTGTAACGTACTCTTTTCTTGTCTGCCTAAGGTTTCCCTAAATTGCCTCCAAGTGGTCCAAAATGCCGCAGCAGGGCTTTTAACCCACAGTCATAAATTCTCCCATATCACCCCTGTGTTAAAATCCTTGCACTGGCTTCCAGCTGGGTATAGATGTCAGTTTCACTCTTACATTCATGTCCCTACAAGGTGAGGCTCCCACTTGAGGCCCCCACTGAGCTTCTCCAACCCTACTCTCCAAACCGATACTTAGATCCACTGATAGTGGTCTTCTAACCATTCCACGGGCCCGTTTGAAAACAAAGGGGGATTACGCTTTTCAAACCCTGGCTCCAATACTGTGGAACAGCTTCTTTTAAAAAACAGTTCAAAACACATCTGCTTAGACAGGCATTTAGGTAATATTCATGTGTAGTATACTCTTTTATTGGATATGCTACTATACCTTCTTTATACTGTTTTATTGTTTCGATTGATATGCTTTTATTCCCAAGTGAAGCACTTTGAAATAACTTCCTGTTTTAAAAAGTACTATATAAATAAATTTTACTTACTACTTTTACTAGTTGTTATGCTAAACTTGTGCTGCTTATATACTGTATGTACATACATTTTGTTTTGAAATGTAATGCAGGCGGATTCCTTGCAGCAGAAGAATCACTTACATACATGCCTACAGGGCCCTGAGGTCCCTCCAACCCTGGCTTCCCTGTGACGCCCTGAAGAAACACATTCAAAACACAAAAAAACATTAAAAAAAAGAACCTTCTCTGCAGACAGATATCACAGAGGTCATGACTACTATTTGCAGCCTCACCCTTTCTCCTGGGGGTCCTGGTGAGCCTGGAGGCCCCGTCTTCCCCGTTGGCCCCTAATATGTCAACAACAAGGAATCAATCAAAACTAAGACGTGGTAGAAAATGTTTATCTTATCAGCCAGTGTGATTTACATGTCATGACCTTCATGACAACAGTAACATTAAAAACAAGGATGCTGCTGATCTTGCAGGGTAAAATTTTTGCAAACACAGTTATTTCCTGTTTCTCAGGAAATGATACCAGCTACTCAATATTGCTGCAATATATTAAGCTTAGTTTGAATGTCATCCCAATAATTATGCAAAGCAGCTATGAATGAGTCTAGGAATAAAAAATGGACCTGAAATGAGCATAATAGGTAGGGATGGGTATCGAAAACCGGTTCTTGTTGAGAACCAACTAACAGTGCATATTATGTTAGCACGATCTGCCTTATTACAAAACCTGCCATTACTGTGCATTTAGGTGACCATGATGAGAGAGA